TCTCTCGCTCTCTCTCTCACTTACGTTCGTCACGTGCCGTCCGGTCGGGGAGGAAAACACTTTGGCGCGCAAATGTTTTCGAAGGCCGAGTTATCCGGTAGGCCTCAGGTCCACGCTGCTCGCCCATAGATCCGCACCATGATTGGGCTTATCCACCGTTGAAAAGCAGAAAACTCCTCGCGGGCGTGATCGATGATGGGCGGTGCATGATTAGGCGATGGACCCCAGGCCTACGGAATAATCTGTAACTGCTCCCTTTGACCGCTTCCTCAGGATTTCGATTTGATTATTATTGCTGTTCCAATAAGGATGAGGGGGGCCGAACAAATTTGCCCTGCCCAACTCTAGAAGACATGATAGGGTTCGTTGGCCGTTCACATCGGGTTTTTTTTTTTTTTTTTTGTAGTTCTTGGGACCCACACCCTTATCTTGCCTTCTTCATGGGTCTCGTGACACGTGTCATGTCCAATGAAGTTCGATGAACCAATTTTCGGCCCGGATCGAATACATCGAGACGGTTACTAAACACCTAAAGAAAGAAATGTTTCTCTTTCGATGTACTGTTTGCCATGTATTGTGTATAGTCAATGCATTGAGGATCTAACAATATTTTCTTGTTAAGTATGATTAAGAAGTGCTGCCGAAACACTAATTGACAAACCCTAATGTTCATACCAATTGTTTAGCGATGTCCACGTTGGCTTTGAATGAAAGATAATACTTTGCCAAACACAATGATATCCCTAAACCCCTATTGCGCTTAGTTTTAATTTCAAACACAAATGGTACTGAGTTTTATACTCATCAAACCAACCGCTAAATACTAAATGTTATCGAGATATTATCTTTGAAGAGAATAGTGAAGCTTGTGATATTTCGTTGAATAAATCGCTTAAACATTTTAAGCAGACAAAAAATCTCTCTTTCAAACAAATAAGATTTATTGATCATAGAAAAGTTGTTCAGTGTATTTTAACACAGTGTTTGCCATGTCTTTTTGTCATTGAAACTTCTCTAGAATAGCATATGACTTAGCCAGCGTCTATGCAAGGCTAGGCAGCAGGTACATTTTCACCCTCCATTATATTCCAAATTTGCCAATATGGTGCCACATCATCGGCACATGTCAAATTTCACCACATCGCAATTTGACGGTGTTAGTAATGGCAAGTATGGAAAAGATTTTATTGTACAAATTAATAAAGTATAAAGATTACATTGCTTAGAAAAGTAAGAGAACTAAATTGCATAAAACAACAATACTGGAAGAACTAAAACTGTACTTAACCCTTTTGGTTCGCATCTGCAGGTAAATACATCGATAAATATCTTCCCCCAATCATGTTCACATTTCATTATTAAAAGTAAACAAACCATTTGTTTCAAGATAACATAGCAAACTACAATTGACAAGGAATGGCAAAAGGATACTATAAGTGCCATAACTTGTGTACGGAGATCACTTTGGTGCCATAATTTTTTTTCGGATCACTTTGGTGCCAAGTCGGAGGAAAAACGATCACTTAAGTGTCATAAGTTTTTTTGGATCACTTCAATGCTAAAATTTTTGAAAAACGATCACTTAAGTGCTAAAATTTTTTAAAAACGATCATTTAAGTGCTAATTTTTTTTAAAAACGATCACTTAAGTGCCAATCTCCGGCGAGCCACGTCAGCTTCAGAAATTGATAAAAAAAAATGCCACGTCGGATTTCCGGCGAAAAATTGTGTACGGCACCGGAGTTGGCACTTAAGTGATCGTTTTTCAAAAATTTTAGCACTAAAGTGATCCAAAAAAAACTTATGGCACCAAAGTGAGCGCCGTACACAAGTTATGGCACTTGTAGTGTTCTTTTGCCGACAAGGAAGTATTGCATGAAACGCGGAGTGATTTTCAAGCACCACATTTTCCTCTTGTCAATAACTAAAACTACTCCCATGATGGTAATTATAGTCATATTAAGGCTTTGTCTAATGAAATTGTGTATCATTTCTAATTCGAGACATGATACCTTGTTTTGTGTGCCAATTGAGCATATGCTATTCACTCACTTCGACGACACAACTCAACGACACAAATAAATCAAGAATTTTGGAATGCTAATATGCTTTAGTATAAGAAGAAATGATGCTAGATTTGACAAGTGAAGTGATGCTAGAAAATAAATATAAAATTTTAGCAGGATCAGACACTAGAGTTATTCAAGATTTGACTGGTATCACGACATGAAAAATCAATCACTTCCCGAGTTCGATAGGAATTAACTGATCAAGAAAACACCGTCCTTGAACTTGAAGTGTGATCCCATCTAAAAGCTTCTTCACATTTTCCAATTCCAATGAATCTTGTGAACATTCTTGTACACATAAATGGGCAGTGGTACCCCACTCATGTCACGTGAATTTCCACACCCTCATTTGCCTCCCACCAAATCGAGAACTCCATTTCAATGTCAACCCAAAAGAAGAAAAACCAAAAAAGAAGAATGAGAGATGGATACTGACTTCACCAAATAGATGAGCAATGATAGCATTGCACTCACGTTGTCAGAATGAGAGAGTGAGAGAAGTTCATGCGGCATCATAGTGTCCATTACACGCGTGCTTTTAGCACGTGCCACTTTCCTCTCTCTTCTCTCTCTCTCTTCCATAAAATGACAAATTGGATCCAAACAAGAAGAAGCAGAGTTCTTGGTAAACACAGTCTGATGAAAGTTGAAAGTTGAAGTTTAGAGCTTTGGTCAGGCATGGGTGTCCTTTATACTAAAGAGCGAAAGCCTTCTTGACATTTTGTGATCTGTCAGATTACAAAATCGACTAAATTATATGATAAAGTTCAGTTGACCCAACAATTTTGACTTTTGGCTCCTAATATTTTCAGAATCAATGTATTTGCTCTTGCACGAAGTCATAAAAAAAAAACTAAAAAATGTGAAATGATTGGGAGGGGTGCTTGGGAAAAATCCAAATAGCAAGTTTGGCCAATTCGGTCAATGTTTAGGTTAAACTTTCTAATATTGGCAAACACAGTGTCATTGAGTAAAAATGAATTAACATCGGATTTTTTTTGGTCATAAGAATACTCTAGCCTGGAATGGCTTAATTTTTCTGGTTCAGTATAGTTGGTGATTTTCTTGGCTTTTTTTAAAAAAAAAATTTGTATAGGAGGGTGGTTATTTGTTTTGCATGGTGGTGTGTTGTGGGATGGCTTTTGTTTCACGCTGAATCCTTCGACAAAAGGACCGAGGATCAAGTTTTGTCTTTTTAAGGGTTTCCATGGATGTTGATTCTTTTGGTCGACTCATCGTACAATTCCAATCAAATTGTTGTTGTTAGGTGATGATGATGACGACTCATCTTATTACGCTAAGAATAAGGAAGGAGAAGGAATTAGAAAGATTACAAAGCCTGCTATCAACTAAATCTAAAGAGAGCCATTGTAATAAATCATTGTTCTCCATATATATTTTTTTGGTGTGTTTTAGCACATAATTAGGCCCAAAGTTTTGAGCCTACGCAAAAAAATACCCGCATTGATATCAAGCATGTTATCTATCATTTTTTTTTTCTCGGGATGAAACGAGATACTTCGAATTAGCCCGCACTAAATTCGAATGCGAAACATGCTCGTTCATTTGAGTAGGCTTGAGAGCGAACAAAGAATTGCCCATCGAGCTTGGCTCGGCTTGAACTAGCCCAAATATAAGTGAAAACAATTGTGCGACCTTGGGGCCATGGCTCTTCTATTAGAGCTTGGAGCTACCAAGACTTGCCCGACATGGTTTTATGGTTTGGCGAATGCACGATCTGAACGAGTCTGGACAAGTAATTTCTTCTTGGGCTCTGGCTCACCCCGACGTTATTTATACGAAGAAAATATAATAGTTTCCAAATCTTGAACTTGTTACTCGAATTATTTGTCAAGTCCAAGTGCAATCTGATCCATTGGGAATAAGGCTCAAGAGATGAGATGGGGATATCTACATTTTGAGGCCGAACATGCCAATAACGGCCCACTCAATGCCTCTGATGCATGGTATTAGGGCTTCGTACTATTACAATTATCAAAATTAGGTGGAATTCGCATTTAACTTTTTAATTGATAAGAGCACCTAAAACTCTTCGATGGCTTGTAAATTATGTATAAAATCTTCCCATTCTTTCAAAACTTTAATTTGTATTTCATATTACAAACTTCGAAAATGGGGCATGTTTCGGGGAACTAACCAGGAACTCTTTTTCTTTGCTTCTTTTGGTATTAAACTAGGAACTCTATTAAGACACATATATAAGCTCCAAGGTATCAAATATCGCTTCACAGGCGAAATATCAATATCATCGGCCTTTTCTTATTAGGAGCCTGCTTCAAATATTAAGTTCAGTTGATTGGGATGGCTCGCTTTTGTGTTATGTCGATTTTTTGGCAAAGAAAAGAAGAACAATTTAATATCATGGATAATGAAAAATTGACTATATTTTGAAGTTTCGAAAAAGCCTTTTTTTTTGACAAGGGGAAAATTTCTCTTAGTTATTTTAACCTTAGCAAATGATATTCTTGACTTATGAATCTGCTCATATCATCGATTTACATCTATAAATTAGTATATCATGTAGTGTTGTTGGAAAAATCAATCAAATCTAAATCAATGGAGACAAGACATTTAAATATTCGAGAAACATTCATTATTTAACTCAATAGTAAAGAATTAATATACATTGTAAAGAAAAGACAAGAAGAATCATATCACTTTGTATAAAGGCAACTAACTTCGGTTGACTAGATGAAGTTAAGTGCTTTGAAGACATCTAAGATTCTTACAAATCGTTGAGAAAATGGGACGAGAAAATCACGTAGCCCCTCATACAAATTACTTTGTCATGCCAAATAAACAATTACAAGAGTAATCAGACAAACAAATTATACACATTCTCAGCCGACTGCAACCAAAAATCAACGACAAAGACATACTAGGGTACTTCCCATTCCAAGTCTAAAAGATGTGGCCCTTATGATTCTGCTAATATAGAACCACAGGGGACCGCTCATCATTGGTGATTGTGGCCTAATGGTACAAGCTGATTTTCCACAAGCGCAAGGTCACGAGGATAGCCCACTAGCAATGATAGTGCATGTATTTTGCCTTGTCTATGATGGGAGCTCTAGCAGCTTAGTGGGGTTATAGTGACGAGACTCGCCTACCCTTGATAAGTGGTTGCAAGTGGGCTATTGGATGACGGCCTTCTCGCAATCTTAAATCAAAATACTTTGTGGCAGACGTGAGGCTTTCATGATGACTTAACAGAGCGACAGAGCATAGTCCCCCTGATTGCTCCTCTCCGCCTTTCCTTGACAACAAAGAAAAAGAAACTGTGCTCTGAGATGGTGTGGGAATTTGAATAGAAGAAAGATGAACTATGATCATTTACAGAGAAGTCAGATTTAAATTGATTATAATCTATGGGGTTCATTCAAATTTAGTTGCCATATTGGCCAACTTGAAAACACCTTAAATACTATTTTTTGCATCTTTACAGTAGCTGTTGTTGTTGGAAGTAAGAAAGCTTCTTCATTTGACTTTCAATAGACCTCAATAATTAACATTATGATACAGATTAATCTTTTAGAGCAGGTCACCGAAAAAACAGTTTAGAGCATATTAGTACACCTACCAAAACAAATAGCCTTTTGTTTTGTTTTTTTTTCTTTTGTCATGTTGCATATCAGTACACCTACATAAGCACATCATTTGCCTACCTCAACAGTGCTTGCATTTGATCCTCCTGAGAGATTTTGCCAAAAAAAGATGATAGTGGGATATTCTGCAAAACAAGCACAGTTGGGAGAATTTAGGTCACTGAGCTAGGGCATGAAAGAAAAGATATTTGGAAGAGAACATGACAAACGCAGAAATTGCAGAAAATATCAATATAATAGCAACTATTCTTCTTGATTCTCATGCAAAGCATGGTACATTTTCAGAAGCGGAAAGATAAGCAATTTTTGGGCATCAAACAAAGTTCAAGATATATCATCAATCCAGACAAGCACATCCACGCATCACAATTCCAGCACTGTGAGCAAGTCCATGTAAGTATTATTTGTTTTGAGGAATAGTCACTCCTATGAAACAACGTTGGACTTGCTGTACTGCGTTAGCATTATAACCATTTCATTGTGTGCTTCCTTGTCAAAAAAAACAGAGCAACCCAAATGTGTAGCTGGTTTGTGGCAAACTATGTGAAGCTTGTCCATGGAAAACATGAACTTTCTAGCATCGAGTTGAGGATTCATAATAGAAATGGATCCTGGAGCAGCAGAAGTAGCTAAAGGACAAATGTGGAAGAAAGAAAGAAGTCCGAACCATTACCTGAAGAATAAAAATTAGACATTGGAGAAATATTCTTATTGAATCCGAACTCGATCAACTACGATTAGTGGGATTTCTTGGATGAGGTGCCAATAGTTGCCACTGAGTTTTGATTATGTCGAATACTTGGAGAAGGGAGTGAAGCCATTCTCTGGCAAGTACCAGTAACCTATAAAAGATAGCTGTTTGAGAGAGGAGAGATGGCTGCGAAGACCACTTGATAATCTTTCCACGTTCTTCATATTTCTCATCCAAAGAGAGGTTAGAGACGAAAGAAACAGAATACTCCATGCTTCTTACATCCTCCACCGCTGGTAGTCTTTCCACAGTCCTCATATTTCTCATCCAAAAGTCTGAAACAGGACGAGCAATTAGTCCTGAATAAAATTTATTTGTCATGCATAATAAACAACTACAAGAGTGGTCAGAACAAAATTATATGCACACCCAATTGACTGCAACAGAAAATGAACCGGGATACCCTTTTGATGATTTGCTGGAAAACTCTTATGATTATGTTAACTAACAAGTATGGGAGACCACTAATCATCGGTGATGGTGACTTATTGGTACGAGCAGATATTCTACAAATGTGAGGTCAGGAAATCGAATGACTTGGTACGGGCTGATAACGCTTAAGAATGATTGCCTGCACCTATTGATATATCTGGAATGCTCGAAATGCAGTTATCTTCAACCATAAATCACCTGATCCTGAAACTGTCACCTTTACAGATTAGAAAAGCTCTTTTAGACTGTGTTGCCTGTAAAAATGCAAGAGAGCTGAGTCATGATTGGGAGGACAAAAGGCAGGGTGTGTAGAGTAAACCTGAGCTAGGTTTTGTGAAGATTAACTAGGACGGGTCTTACATTGAAGGAACCAAACATGCTGTTGTTAGGATGATGGCTAGAAATGAAACAGGGGAGATGATTGCTTGAAGGGGCATGGTGGTGCAAGCTAGATCTGCAAAGGAGGCTGAATTACTTGCTGTTTGAAAGAGCATTGCAGTAGCTAAAGAAAGAGCTGAACCAAGGTAGTAGTGGAGCTGGATGCAGCAGTGGTATACAAGGATATCTCCACTTTCCCAAACAGTGCAATTAAAGACTAATGGACGCTCCTGCTGGGATTCAAGAAGCTAAAGATCGTTTTGCAGCTCTGAATTTTAGTTGTATTTCGCGAAAAGCAAATGTTTTGTGCCCATTGGGTAGCTTTGTCAAAATTGGGATCTACATCCGCATCCTTCATCCTTCTTATCACATTTGCTTATTTCAACCGCGAGTTGTAGGCCTAAACAGAAAAATCCCATTGAGGACACACACAGCACACCCAAATGTCATTCTCTGACCTTCAGTGGCTGTTTTCTGAAAATTCTATGGGAAACATCACCACGGGAAAAAATCAATCCGTATGAAGCATCGAACTGAAGAACTGAATAGAAATTGATGCCTTCAAACCCAAACACTTACCCCAACCCTAAAAAGCTTACTTTAGATGGAACAACGAATCGCGGCAGATAGCAAATGAAAGCAAAAGAATGAAACAAGTTATAGGAATTACCTGAAGAAGGAAAAGTAGTCAATGGAGATAAATATTTTGTCATGGCTTGGGTGTGATCAATTTCAATTCATTGGATCCGAACACCTCCAATGTAGATGAGAGGGATCTCTTGGATGAGGGGCCAGTAGTCGCCAGTGAGTTTTAAGCATGAATCTTTCAGAATCTCGCATAAAAATATCTCCAGAATTTGGAAAGAGCATAGTCTTCCCGATTGCTCCTCTCCGCCTTTCCTTGACAACAAAGAAAAACAAACTGTGCTCTGAGATGGTATGGGAATTTGAACAGAAGAAAGATGAATTATGATCATTGACAAAGAAGTCAGATTTAAATTTATTATAATCTACACGGTTCATTCAAATTTAGTTGTCATATTGGCCAACTCGAAAACACCTTAAATCCTATTTTTTGCATCTTTACAGTAGCTGCTGTTGTTGGAAGTAAGAAAGCTTCTTCGTTTGACTTTCAATATAGACCTCAATAATTGACATCATGATACAGATTAATATTTTAGAGTAGGTCACCAGAAAAACAGTTTAGAGCATATCAGTACACCTACCAAAACAAATGGCCTTTGTTTTTTTATTTTTTGTTTTTCTTTTGTGAAGTTGCATATCAGTACACCTACATAAGCACATCATTTGCCTACCTCAACAGTGTTTGCATTTGATCCTCTTGAGAGATTTTGCCAAAAAAAGATGACAGTGGGATATTCTGCAAAACAAGCACAGTTGAGAGAATTCATGTTACTGAGCTAGGGCACGAAAGAAAAGACATTTAGAAGAGAAAACATAACAAATGCTGAAATTGCAGAAAAATATCAATATAATAGCAACAATTCTTCTTGATTCTCATGCAAAGCATGGTGCATTTTCATAAGTGGAAAGATAAGCGATTTTTAGGCATCAAAAAAAGTTCAAGATATATCATCAATCCAGACCGGCACATCCACGCATCACAGTTCCAGCACTGTGAGCAAGTCCATGTAAGTATTATTTGTTTCGAGGAATTGTCACTTGTATGAAACAATGGTTGGTTGACTTCCTGTACCACGTTAGCACTATAACCATTTCATTGTGTGCTTCCTTGTCAAACAAAACAGAGCAACCCAAATATCTAGCCGGCTTGTGCCAAATTATGAGAAACTTGTCCATGGAAAAACATGAACTTTCTAGCATTGAGTTGAGGATTCGTAATAGAAATGCATCCTGGAGCAGCAGGAGTAGCTAAGCGACAAGTGTGCAAGAAAGAAAGAAGTCCGAATCATTACCTGAAGAACAAAAATTAGACATTGGATAGATATCTTCTCATTGGATCCAAACTCGATCAACTACAATGAGTGGGATTTCTTGGATGAGGTGCCAATATGCCAAATACTAGCTGTTTGAGAGTGGAGAGATGGCTGCGAAGACCACTTGATAGTCTTTGCACGTTCCTCATATTTCCCATCCAAAGAGAGGTAAAGATGAAGGAAATAGAATACTCCACGCTTCTTCCATCCTTTACTTTTGATAGTCTTTCCACATTCCTCATATTTCTCATCCAAAAATCTGAAACAAGACTATCAATTAGTCCTAAATAAAACTCCTAAGAATGATTGCCTACCCCTGTTGGTATATCTGGAAAGCTTGAAATGCAGTAACTTTTACCCATAAATCACCAGATACTGAAACTGTCACTTATACAGGTTAGAAAATTTCTTTTGGAGTGTGTTGCAGGTAAAAATGTAAGCTAAGTCATGATTCAGTGGATGAAAGGCAGGGTGCGTGGAGTAAACCTGAGTTAGGTTTTGTGAAGATTAACTCAGATGGGTCTTATTACGTAGAATCCCCAAAATATCATCCAAAGAGTAGTTACGGCGATTGATACTCCCTCCCCTTCCCTCTCCTGTACAGGAAAAATAATATGTAGGATTGCTTCAAATGTAGTCAAGAGATGGAGTGGGTATTTGAATAGAAGAAAGATGAACTTTAATCTTTGACCAGGCAATCTGTTTGTAAATGGGTTTTGATGTGCAGGGTTCATTCAGAATTTAGCTGTTATATTTGCATATTTAAAACCTCCGTTTTCAAACCATTCTTCCATCAATACAGTAGTTGCTATTGGAACAAAGAAAGCTTCATATTCTGAACATTGACCTGAACAGGTCAAAGGATATTATCTAATGGATTCAGATATTTATACAGATTATCATTATGGTATTTTTCTGGCTAGACAAGGCCTACATCATAGTTACTAAAAGCAATTTCGTACTTAGAGTTGGAAGCACAAATTTTTTGTTGGCCATGGAAATATTTCACATATAATCCTCCTAAACAGTGCCAAACAACAAAAATGGGGAAAAATGTTTTCGTAAATCTGACTTCTTATAACATAGACCCTTAGTTGCCTCTAAAGCTATTGGCAAATGATTCTGCATACTCGATGTCAAAAACTTAGACTCATCCTTCCATGGGCCCTAATCAAGTTTAAATGACAAATGAGGGCCTCTGTACCTGTGAGTACGTCCTGTGTATCAGCAGCCATCCTCTCTTCGTCCATTTTAGCTTTCTATGTGTAGCTAAGCCTCATTTTCAGTTCTGTAAGGTAATGTGACCCCGGTGAACCACTCTTTGCTGATGACAAGAACTAGGTCACCTGATTCTATGAGGACTGAAGTATCTTCTTATAATCCTGGAAATTCCATGGAAAGGCGCCGCCTTGCCTTGAGAAACCACCCAGAGCTCGTCCACACTTGTAGATGTTCATCTTGACAAACCTTCTAATCAAGGCAAAAAGAGGGCTATTAGCTGTGAATATGATCCATCGTTGGTCAAATTGAAGTACTTTGGCAAGAAAATCGATCTCACCATCACAATTCCTCCTTGGAACAAGACCAGACCTTGAATGAGCACATCAACTGTCCAAATCCTACAGTTGGGGATAGCAAAAAACGCAGAATCTTACTCATCTATCCTTAAACAAGAAACTAACAATTTACAAAGATATCACTTTAGTAGTCACCGATCATTAAAGCAAAACTTAAAGTCCACATTAATAAACAAAAAAGGTCCGCATCAATTATGTGCACTAATGCCTATAGGCACAGATATCAGAACTAACCTGCAAATCAAGGCGAATAGAGGGCTACTAGCTGTGAAAATGATCCATCGTTGGTCAAATTGAAGTATTTTGACAAGAAAATCAATTTCACCATCAGAATTCGTCCTAGGAACAAGACCAGACCTCGAATGAGTGTCTCAGCCGCATCCGAATCCTACAGTTGTGGATAGGCAAAAAGAGCAGAATCATACACCCAATCATCCTTGGACAAGAAACTAACAATTTCCAAAGATAATTCTTTAGTAGTCACTCGTCATTAAAGCAGAACTTAAATTCCACATTTATAAACAAAAAGAGGTCCACATTAACTATGTGCAGAGCCCAGGCACAGATATCGTTACTCTAATACGAAAAAACGGATCAAGCTAGCATAACTGTTCTATTCCGAATATTTTCCAAGTTGGAATAATTAGATTGGTTTCTGTTACATTATAAGTTAGATGCATGATGAGAGAGGCTCCCTGTAGCTGGGACCACCGATTGGTTCTACTGTATTTTCAATGTGAAGCCTAGATTCCAATAAGTTCAATAAGTGCAAGAACAACAACAAGATAACTGAAAAAGTAATCGAAGTCATGAGGTGGAGAGAAATGAGTAACCTTACCAGATGATTGGATGGCTCATCAAGCAAAACTATGTGAGGTTTCTTGAAAGTTATCTTAGCAAGCTGTAAGTAATAGTTCCTAACCCAACAGAGATCAAGACCCAAACGGAAGGTGGTTTATGAATATCATATCATGAATTGGAGTTGTATTGAAAGCTTGGAGCCATGAGCTGCCCAAGATAGACTGGTTAGTTCTACGAAGGATCATCAACAACAAAAAGAAGGTTTTTGATGATAAAGAAAACTAATGAAAAAAAAAAATTGCATCCCCATTTTTCACAATCATATCACAGCATCCAGATAACTAATCGTGTTTTCAGATTTTGAGAGAGATCATTCTTATTTAGATCATAATCACTAGAAGAAACTTTAGAACATATCGATGCACCAAAGAAAATTAAACCTTCTTCCTTTTTTGTAAATTGCAGAAAATGACACAAAAACACCGACAGCATTAGCCCTACCTCAACAGCGTTCCCAAGTGATCCTTCCATGAGATTTTGCCAATACAGATCACAAATAGTATCTGCAAAACAACAAGAGCGAATGAACTTAAGGGCGCGAAGAAAAAGATGTTGGGAAGAGAACATACAACAAACGCCGCAGTGGAATTTGATTGTGGAACGCTATGATTCTTGGTGAATCTCACGCAAAGCATAGTGCATTTTCATTCACGGCTTGTATGGTGGGTCAGGGTCACTCGAGTGCAAAAAATAAGCAAATTTTTTTGGGCATCAAGCAGAGTTGAAGATATGTCATCAAGAGGGAGGCAGCACTATTGGCATTTCGTCCTACAGTTTATTGTCCAACGAAACAGAGCCGATCCAGAACAACGAGAACACCCTCCCCGAATGTCAACATGGGAAACATCTCCATGGGAAAATATCAGTTTGCGTTACACATTGAATTGAGGAAGCAGAATCCAAAATTGATGATGCCTTCAAGACCAAAGGACTTACCCGAACCCTAGAAAAAGGACCGCAGATGGAAGAAGGAATAGCGAAATCTCAGCAAATGAAAGCGAAAGTGGATCGGTTTCACTTCATCGGATCCGATCGCCGTGGACGTGGATGCGGGGGATGTCTTGGATGAGGGGCCAATAGTCGCCACCGAGGTTTGAGCATCGGTCTTTCAGAATCTCGCATTCATGTATCTCCAATCGTTGGAGGGAGGGAGGGAGGCCATCCTCTGGCAAGTACCTCAACTTCGGGCAATTAGAAATCTCTAACCATCTGAGAGAGGAGAGACGGTTGCGAAGACCGCTCGACAGTCTTTCCACGTTCTTCATATATCCAATATCAAGAGAGGTTAGAGAGGAAGGGAAGAGAAGACTCCACGCATCCTCCTCCTCGTTCTCCTCCTCCGAAGGAAACCGCACCTTCTCTCCCTCCCCTCCCATGCCCCTTCCGTCAATTCCAAGTGTCTCGAGGGATGTGAGCAGGTGTAAGCCCCATTCTCTCACTGGCTGCTTCAGGTTCTCGCACCCCCAAAGTTGAAACGACCGCAAATTGGGAGGCAAATCCCCTTTGGGGAAGGATTTGATATTTTCACAATACGTAATCCGTAGAAACCGGAGGGAAGTAAGACGATGCCACTCATTTGGTAGGGACTTTATCTTCGGGCACCATTCAAGTACAAGTGTCGATAGGGACGTGGGAAGGGGAGGGAAGTCCTCCACCTCCAATTCTGGACAGCCACTTATTTTCAATTTAGTGAGATTGATACAGCTAGCAATGTTACAACTGGCAATAGACTTTATTTTCGGACAATTATAAAGTGAAAGACTCGACAGGGTGAGGGTGAGGGGAAGGGGAGGGAAGTCCTCTATCTCCAGTGCTGGACAGTCACTTATTTTCAAATGTGTGAGATGGGTGAGCGTGTGAAGGCACAGAGGTAGGCTTCCCAGATTCTTACAGTAGGTAATCCTCAAAGATTTCAATGATTCTATTGCGATGATCTCTTCTAGTGACACCAGTCCCTCGTACTTCCAAATATAAAGTTCCCTCAGAGCAGCAAGTCTACCCTCGGCAAACGGAAAGGATATTCGAAAATCTTGATTATTAATCTCCAGATATTCAAGTTGTGACATCGTGTTATTGTTGTCGTGGTCGTCTGGAGGAATGGTTAGTCCCATGATTTTTGGACAATTCGAAATGCTCAAATGTCTAAGTGTGTGCATCTTGCTTGGAAACCTTTCTAAACTCGTGCAATTCGTCAATTCCATCATCTCAAGGTTGCACAATAGCTCTATCTCTCCTTCTCCGGCCACAAAAGATGTGAATCGAGGACAATTTTCGATGACTACACTCTGGAGGCAAGTAAGTTTTCGCATTTCATTTCCATCTTGCCACAAGTAGGTCAGCTTATCACAGCTTCTTATATGAAGCTCCTTCAGCTTAACCATAGAGCTTATAAACCCAGGATTAAAGCAAACAAGTTCCGCAAGATTTTGAACTCTGAGAATGGTTAAAGAAGTTAGGCTGACAAAGCTATTTAAGATCTCCTCGTTACAATCCTCAAGGTATAATTCACAGAGAGATGGAAGATGAGCCTCACTGGGTGAGTTATTCAAATGGGGGCATGAATGAATTTCAAGTTTTATGAGACGATCAAGTTGACAAGGCAATGTCCCTACGAACGAAGGACATCTTCGGACAACAAGATGCTGAAGACAAGAGAATGGGACTTCTTCTTCTCGGCCCCCGGCATAACGAGACCAATCCTTCCATGCCAACATCCCTTCGAACTTCAAAGTGGTTAAGGATGAAAAAGGCCTTTTACTTCCGTAAAATTCAGAGTCGATCTTGCATACGACATGTAGACCTTCAAGAGATAATTCTTTAAGTGAAGGTAGTTGTCCAAGTGAGGGTAGCGATATAACATTAGGACAGTACCGCAAGCGCAAAGACACTAATTTAGAATAGGATGGACCATCTAACCACGATGGGAATGTTGAACCACCGCAGAACGAGATAGTGAGATTTTCAAGATTAGTGTGAGGTCGCAAAGAGTTAAGCATTTGCATTTCACACTCATGATTCCGGAGATTTCCCAAATGTTCACCCCAATGCAATGATAAGTTGGTAAGGCCTTGCTTTTGAAACAAATTAGCATCAATTGCATCTCTAACTTTTTCCATCTTTTGTAATTCTGATATGAATAATTCTCCTTGAAGATGTGGCAAGTTCTTTAACTCCTCTAACTTTGACCCTTTATCTAGTCCTACCACAAACTTGGATAAGATAGTAAGATTTTTCAAATTACCAATACCCAACGGCATCTCTTTTAGACTCCTCGTATCTCTAATATCAAGAAACTGTAAGCTGACCAACTTTGTGATACCTTGAGGCAACTTTGAAAGGTTATGACAACTTCTTAAGATCAAAGCTTGTAATTTGCACAAGCCGACAATTGACTCAGGTAGCCTTTCGATACGAGTGTATGAGAGATTGAGATTTTGAAGATGTTTTAAATCACCAACACAATTCGGTACCTCTACAATGGAACAGTGACATATGGAGAGCACCCTCAAGTACTTCAATTCTACTAGCAAGTCATGTAGCATCTTGTTGGAAATATAGAATAAGCCCCCACTAGATCCAACATGCACTAGAATTAAACTTCTTAGTGCCTTCATTCTGTGATATGCTCTCAAGCATTTTGATGTAATGTAAAGCGGTGAGACGAATGATGCGTAACGAGTTTTTTCAAGAGATGATGCATCATGTTTATTGCTTGCCTGCTGAGGCTCCCCTGAGCTAAAGCAAGTCCCACCCGCAATTGACTTTGCTAGATCATTCAAAAGATCATGCATTGAAAACTTAGATGCGTCAACACTTGATTGTTGAAGAAATGATCTGGATACTAACTCATCAAAGTGATTCCGTCCAGATCTCAAGATATTCTCCTTTGCGTTTCGTCCATCTATAAAGCCCTCCGCTATCCATATGAGTACTAGCTCATCCCTCTCGATTTCGTAATCCTTGGGAAATACTGCACAATAATTAAAACATCTCTTCAAATAAGAAGGAAGATAGACATAGCTCAATTTTAAAACGGGGAGTATCTCATCATTCTGTGCCGTCGGAAGATCCCATATTATGTTATTTAAGGTATCTTCCCAGTCATCGGGATTCCTTTTATTACGTAGGGCACCGCCTAACATCTTCGCCGCCAAAGGTAAACCTTTACATCTTTCAGCTATTTTCTTGCCTATTGTTTGAAAATCTGGGTGGCTCTCAAAATTTGTTGCTCCAAGAGCATGAAAGGCTAATAAGCTTATACAGTTATCAAGGGACAACACCTCCAAAGGATACGGCGAAGCTCCTGTTATGGACACAACAGTACTGTTGCGAGTCGTGACAATGATCTTGCTTCCCTTCCCCCCCGCTTCAAATGGCTTTAAGAGGGCAGTCCATTTTTCATACTTCTCGTTCCAGATATCATCTAAAACCACAAGAAACTTCTTCCCGGATAGATTGTCCTTCAACTTAACTTGAAGCACGTTAAGATCTTCACCCTCGTAGGACAACCCGGTGATCGACTGCAAAATAGTCTTTGTTATGTCAAGAATATCAAAAACATTTGACACACAAACCCATGCTCTCCTCTCGAAACACCTATTCACCCTGGCATCATTATACAGTCGCTGAGCCAATGCCGTCTTTCCAACACCGCCCATCCCAACTATGGGGACTATGCTTAGTGTGGCATCATAATTTTCGACCTCACGAATCAATATTTCGAGTATCTGTGCTTCTTCCTTCTCCCTGCCGAAAAACTGAGGCTCCAGTAGAGAAGTGCTAGGATCCCTTTTATAGGTGTAGTTGGATCTATCCACAACATTCTCTCTCAAGCTTAAACAAGCCTTCTCCGTGACAATCGCTCTCAAGCTGCCTTTGATCTCTTGTACCTTGGTTTCAAACTCGAGCCATCGCGGGTTTGGATTTGATCCAAAGGATTTATATAGGCCAAAGAAAGAGAACTTCCTTTTCACCTGACCTTTGCTTGTGCTGGATTCTGCCTTTGACTTAGCCTGATTGGCTTCGATCGTGAACTCATCGAGCAAGTCTTCCATGTCATAGGCCAAGTCCCTAACATCGTCTAGCCACAGCTTCACTAGAGGGTTACCGCTGAGTTGCTTGTCCTCTGCATCAGCCAGCACTGCATTGATTGTAACCAGCATCTCCTTCCAGTCAAGCAGGGCAGTGCTGATTCCTTTCGGTTGTGCATAGCCCAATGCATGAGAAGCCAACTTGTCGAAAAGGACATGAAAGAAGGAACCCAAGAAGGAACCCAAAACAATCTCTCCAGTGGCCATGGGTGAATCGATCACTGTACAAAATAGCAAAGGTGTCATGGAGAATCAAAGTAAAAATGAGCTAATGGAGAGAGAAAACTATGAAGTCCAGGAAGACCAAGACGTTTTCTTACCAAAAAGATTAAAAAAAGACCAAGACATTCAAGGGATGCACACCAAAGGTTAGACAAATCAAAACAAAATAATTTTTGTCCACAAGTGCTTATTTCATCAATTGTTCTACTTTTTCTTCAAATCGACAATTTTCTTGCGGGCATCCAAAACAAAGTATAAAAGGTGATTTTTCTACATATGACCAATTTAGAGTGCACGCATATATTCGTCAAAAACTTCATTGCGTACAAGTGTTTTGTTGGCTTTTCTTGCACCATATATTATCAGTATCCTTATGATTTTAATGTCTTTGTTTTCTACTTTATTGGTGAATATGCGATCAATGTAGGCTTTCACGTGGTGGTTATAGTGCTGAAAATTCACATATGTTTAAGATATAAGAAGATCATCGATTCCTCCTTCAATGCGAATGAGTGTGTAAAGTCATCAAAGACGGCTAACTTTGTCAACTCAATAAGGAGAACAAAGTACATGCTTCGGGCTAAATAAGAAAAAGGATCAGGCACACCAACTAATCCATTATGCAAGTTGCTTTATCTTACTCTGGAAATAGTGAACCAGTCAAATATCACCCACTGACAATATATAATCTACTTCAAATTATACTTTACGCTTCACACTAATAAACAGGAAAATCGTGTTAAAAAAGATCGCGATTCTCCTGCCATCCGTGATCCTTTACTTCTACCTCAACAACCTTCAGCAGATGATTGCTGCCCAACAAATATAAGAGAGTTCTTTTAGGAGTGTACAATATAAAATGAAAACTTGGGCTTTTTAGTATTGAACAATATGCGAAGTTAGGGTAGGAGTTCGAATCCCAGCGCTGGCGTTAGGGATTCTTAAGCGTGACGTCGTGGTGGTGGGCCCTGCGCTAGCGTCACCCCGGGTTTACCTCTCCGGCTGTCGGCCGTGCGGGGGGTTCCCGGGTTACCAAAAAAAAAAAAACAATATGCGAAGTTTGTTTGATACGAGGTTAATGCGCATTATAAAAGATGAACAATCTCAAAAACTTTTCTGACGTAGAAATACCTTTTTTCTATCAAAACACGAGTCTATGCGTGTACTTTTTCTAACAAAGCACAATTTTGATTTTAATAATTCAAAATTTAATTCTTCAACCCGGACAACTAGACATTTTTCTCTGTCTTGAAAGAAAATACATGGATTAGTTTTCTTGCACTGAACTATCATTGATTTTCGCACGATGAAAACCAGTCGTCCACACACAACACCCTTGGGGCTTCGGCAGGGATTACTTCACGTGAAGTTTGAATTGCGACCGTATTGACTTGACTCGATTGATTACACTAGCACACCTTAAAAGAATACTAAATCTCAAACACCTTATCAATTCATCTTACCCCTTTCGGTTGATGGTAAATCCACTATATCTATATAATAAGGATTTTTTATTATAAGAGCGAATATACGAGAAGACACAACAAAAGTTATTTATTTTATTTGGCACCATGAAATTATGGCAAACGTGACTTTCCCATTAATCTTGGCTGAAGAGGAATGAAGCTATCCTCTTACAATCCAATTTCATGGATTAAAATTCGAATACATTGATGGTATAAAATAATTACTTTGTGAGCGGGATAAAATACCGATTCCATTATAAATGAATACTTTAGATATTGGGACTACTAATCGAGTAAAATTTCACGTCAGTGTGTGTTAAGTAAAAAGAACAATGATAGAGAGATTAAAAATTAATCTTAACGTCCTATCATTAGTATCTAACAAAAATTGATGTAACAATTTTTTGTTATTAAACTTGACATCAAGTATTTGACATCAACTTTAATCAGGATTATAGATAGTCATGAAATCGGTTTAAGAACCAAAATAATTGTTGCTACTGCTGCCTCTTCTTTTGCTCAAAATGTTGCCTTTGCCTCCATTAATAGAAAGATTTCAGAAAGAATAGGTGGTTGCCCTCGTTTAATAAATGCCAACCAGATGCTTTAGGTAGCGAAGTTCTGGCTACATCAATTTGAGGGAAAAACACAGCAAGTAGATAGATATCTCTTACCTGTTCCGAGTAGACTTCCTGGAGCAGAATGGTGAACAATATGAGATCAACGACAGCAATCCAGCAAGCACAAGCACTAGGTTCGGACGAGCAAGAGGAGAACACTGTTGAGCAAGGGGGACAAGAATGGATTATGGCGAAGCCAAGTGATAATGAGCTAATGGAGAGAGAAAACTATAAAGTTCAAGAAGACCAAGACTTTCACGTACCAAAGAGATGAAACGAAGACCAAGACTTTAAAGATGCACATAAAAAATTAGAGAAATCAATATAAAATACATTTTGTTCACAAGTGCTCGTTTCGTAATATTTAGAGAATATTCTTCGTAGACTTTATTGGACACCATGTGCTTTTTGTCCGGAAAGATGTGCTCTTTTGTCTGGAAAGCGAAGCAAAAGTAGACAATTTCCACGCGTTACATGTGAAGCGAAAGTGAAGCACTTTCAAGAAAAGAGTGCTAATGGGAAAGAAACTTTAATAAAATCCAGGAAGACCAAGACTTTGCACGATGCAAATTGGGTTTGATGCTTCACTTTTCGCATCCCTCTCCTTCCACCCCTATTAGAATTTCCACGCATTACATGTAAATTTAACAATACTACAATTTTCGTCCGACTCTTTTCACGTTTAATTGTATTGGGGTTCTTCATTCATTAATCTCTATTGTACTTGTCTATTAATTTTATGTCTAGGTTTTCATTTATGTTTACAAGTTTAAGTTTGATAAAATAAAAAGGCATAAAGAAAAGCGAACAAGCAAAAACAGCAAAATACTGAAAAAGAAAAAAAAATGAAGGAATGGGGCGAGAGAGAACGCTGCTGTTCCCACGGTTACTACTATGTTGTCATCAGCACCACCACCAGGGCAACTCATTCCAATGCCGCTGCCATCGTCAGCCGGTGAAAACTAGCCAGACCAGCTATCACATCCAAATACCTTTAACTACCAAATGACTGACCCAACTTGATCTAGAGGGGAATTCACAACATAAATAATGAATCACGATTTCTCACGTGCATCATCAAAGTTGGATTTCATGTGAAGTCCACCTCATCCAATAGTAGATAAGCCGGGCTCACATGTACCGGGTTCTTTTAGTATCTTTCCCTCATCCGTGTCTAAGACTACCTGTAGCTGCCACGACCCCATCATAACCTCCATCATCGTCTTTGGCGAGGCCACCACTGGCCTCCGGTCTTGAGTGCCACCATCAACGTCGCTCATCTCTCTTCGACCCTCTCTCTCTCTGGTTGCTTGTTATTGCCAAGGTCAAACAACCACGGACCAGGAGTGATTGACCTTAATCTTAACTCTTTATGAGATGGCATCAGAAGGAGCATGAAGGTGGAGAGAAAGCGGGTGGAAAGAGGGGATTGTCTGAAAGAGAGAATTGAGAATAGAGGGAGGGGGACAGAGATGACGTGGATGATGATGGAGGCGAGCACGGCGGTAGTGTGCACAACTCTAAGGTGGGAGCATTCAGTGGACACATAACATATATTTAACAGTTGGAAAGTGTTACAAAGTCAAAGACAAAAACTTAAGCTTATAACTGGAGAGATGTCACACCTATATAAAGAGCATATAGACCTCATTATCAAGCGATGTGGGATATTTCAATACATTCTCTCATATGCAAGTTGTATCAGGAGTGGCATGTGGAATTTGACTAACATAGTGAACGCATACATGGAATGGCAGAACCTCGCTCTAATAAACTTATTGTCAAGCGATATTGGATATTTCAACAAGTTAAGAACAATGTGAAAAAGACAGATGTGAAATTTTTGTATATCTTGATGTGTTCCGCTTAAAGAGAAGGCGAGCCTATTTATAGGTTTTATTATATGATTATGTAAATAACATATCAATTAAGGAAATACACAATCAAATGAAGATATGCAGAATCTCCTAGAAATATGCACCTTCACGAGAGATATGGAAAATCAAAGGAAATATCATGAGTATCTCTAACATCCCTTCAAATTCAAGGTAACGTAGAAGAAGTGAACTTGAGTTTAGATAAAAGATCCGAAAAAAAGCCTAGCTGGATAGCCGAAGCGATTTGGTGTGCTGTACAAAGAATTGACTGACGTTGACATGGCTATTGTGTGTTGTCGCGGTTGTTGTGCAAGCTATGCGATAGGATGCTATTGTCATGGCAGGTGGCTGCCGTTATGTAGATGGTTGTCATCACCATAGGTGGCTGCAGCCTGCCATTACGCAGGAAGCCGTTGTTGCGACATGAGGTAGTTGTTGCGATAGGAGGCTATTGTGGTTACTATGCATACTACGTGGCAATAGAATATGTTGATGTGGCTATCATATGTTGAGGATCGACGTTACTTCTTGAACTTTTATTTTGTTAGGGTCGTTAACCTTGTTACATTTTTTGTCAGCCTGTGCAATGCATATGCCTTTAAGGAGTAAATATGTATGTTCATCTCATTTTTTGATAGAAATCTCTCTTTTGTCCTTGATTTCGATAAAAAAAAATGAAAAAAAATGGGGGAAAAATTGACTAAAATTTTATAATCAGAAAAAATATATTTTATGATAAGAATTAAAAAAATTGATGAAAATATTAATATAATTATAAGATTTTTTTAAGAAAAATAAACAGAATTAAGTAAAAGGAAAAAAAGGCCTAACTAACAAAGCAAAGGATACTAATTATGTACTTTCAATTAGTGATTAATACAAAAGATGACTGATCAATATATTTTTAAAAAATCACTTTATATTTCAGTTTATCATTTCCTTTCATGAGTTGAAGACATAATTTCCTTTTATAACTCTTATTAAAGATCTTGTTAATCAATAATTATTACATTAATTAAGCCTTTAAGTGTACATAAAGAATAACCAAATTTTGTCATTTCACCTTCTTGTTATTGAGACATTTTTCTTTTTTTATATGCGTTTTTTCATCTCATTTTTTGAATGAAATATCTCTTTTACCTATTTTTGGTAAAAAATATAAAAATAAAGAATACAGAGAAATATAAACTAATATTGATATCAGATAAATATATATCAATAACAATACTTTTAATGAAAATTACTAAATTTGATGAAAATATTAATAGCATTAATAAGATATTTTAAGAACAAGAAACACAATGTCGTAAAAAGGAAAAAGACCTAAAGAACAAAATAGCAAATAACAAATTGGATACTCATGATGCATTTTTAAATGATTAATTAATGCAAAGGATGATTGATCAATAAAAATTATTAAAATGATTAAATCATTTCCTTTTATGATTTGAAGACATTATTTCGTTTTATAACTCTTTTTAAAATATTTTTGTTAATTGATAGTTTTTACATTAATTAAGCCTATGAATATACATAATGGGTAACCAATTTTTCCCTTTTCATTTAGTTTGTATTTTTTCTTGAATATCTTATTTTGCTTTATTAAAGTGGCTACACTTATCAAATTTTGTTCAATATTATTATTAGTACTTATGCTTTCTATTATTAGTATTTTATACAGTGTAATTTCTCCCATTTTCTATATTTTTCTTTAAATTTTTCAGCAATTGTGGGTACAAGAGATATTTCCTTAAAACAAAATGAGGAAATTTCCAAAAAAGGACCTAAAGTGGATCTTATTTCAAATAAGGATATGAAGTAGCTATATCAGTTTCAAATAAGGACTTGACTTTCTAAATGGTCAAGGCATTTTCATCCTTTACCTTGTTTGAATTTTTTCCCTTTTTTTCCTTTTTCTTTCTTTTTTTCTTTTCTAATTGGCGATGCCTGGAGAGGGCTAGGTGAGGCGACCCTCACCCAACCCTCTCTAGGCAACATCAATAGCTAGCCAGCTACTAGCAAAGAAGAAAGGAAAAACGAGAAAAAGGAAAAAAAGAAAGGAAAAAGGAAAAGAGAAAAGAAAGAATAGAAAAAAGAAAAAAGAAAAATAATTTAAATTGGACGAAAATGCCCTTGTTCAGCCAGAATATTAGTCGGCTAGCGACCGGTAGAGGTGGTAAATGGGTCAAGAACCCATATATTAACCCATATTTAATAATTATGGGTTATAAATCGGTTGGATTTAGTTTTAAAAATAGACTTAAATGGGCCATTAATGGGTTGCTTATTAACTTAATGGGTCTTAAATGGGTTATAAATGGGTTACCCAATAAGCTTAAGTGAGATTTTCAATTTTTTTAGTTTTATAATTTTTATATTATTTATATTCTTTTTCTTTTTCCTTTTCTTTTTTTTTTATTTCATCTTCTTCCCCCGCCGGTGGCTAGCCATAGGCGAGGGACGAGCTTGCTCGAGGTCGGTGAGGCCCGGTGCTGGCCTCGCCAGATTGACGAGCTCGAGCTCGAGCTTGGCCAAGGCCGGCGAGCTTGTCCCTCGCCTATTGCCGACCACCGGCCGTCGCCGTGGCTGGCCATTAGTGGGGGAAGAAGAAAAAATAAAAAAAAAGGAAAGGAAAAAGAAAAGAAAAAATGAAAAATGAAAAAGAAAAAGAATAAAGAATAAAATATGATTTTTTTTAAATAAAAATAAAAATATTAAAATGAATGCACAGAGAAAATATGATTTTTTATACCAAACGATGGAAAATATTTTCTAATTCATTTTCAGGTTTTAGCCAAATATCGAAAAATATTATTATTTTCCTGAAAATATTTTTCAGAAATGTTATATTTTTCATGAAACAAGTGGGGCCTCAATTTTTTTAAAAATATTTATATTGCATGAAGATGTTTTAGCAGTGCAATTTTTAAAAATAATTATCAGAAATAAGATTTTCTATATTTAGTTAAATGGGTCAGGTCGAGTTGGGTCGGGTATGGGTCGAGTCGGGTTGGGTATGGGTCAAGATTTTCGCCTTGTGATAAATAGGTTATAAACTGGTTAAATGAGTCAATTTGGATCGAACCATTTATGACTCGACCCACCTGTTTGACAGGTCTTGCGACCGGCGAGGTCAGACTTTTATTTGTGACTGCCATGGCTACTTTATGCCATTATTTGAGATTGACATGGCTACTTCATGCCACTATTTGGAATTTTCCCAAAAAATAAGATGAAATGTATACTTTTACACCTTGCAAGTCATCTGCACTACACATGTT